GTTAGGAATCAAGACAATGTGTGGTTCTTGATCATGTGTTCTTTTACCTATAAAAAAATAGTACTGAATGTGATAAAAATGAGGAAAGAAAGAGGATGAGGAGAAATTAGGTAGGAAGAAGCAATAAAGGAATAAAGGTCAAGCATTTAACCACCTGGAAGCTCGAGCTCCATCAGCAGACAAAGTGGGTCCCTTCTCTAACTATCATAATCCCTGAAATGGCCTGAGGACATCATTTCAATACTTGCTGTCTGAATTGACTGATACGGATTATTTATAATGTCTCCTTCTAGATGGAGGAATTCTTGTATTTTTATCTGAGTCCCACTTACCTGTTCTCATCATAAAATAGTTGGTAACAGGGCCTCCCTGGTGGCACAGCGGTTGAGCACTGGGTTGCAAAGCTGCCCGCAGCCTCTGCAGCACCGGTTGAATCCCTGGCCGCTGGGCGAGGGTCCCACATGGCGCGCAGACCTCTCAGACCTCTCCTGCCACCCGCTGCTCCCCTCAGCAGTGTACTTCTTCAGTCTGCCTGTTCTGCTCTTTGCTGTGGCTCTGGTGAATTCTCTCACCCTCCCGCGCTTCTGACTGTACCCAGTGCTTGTATAAATAAATAAATAAATCTTAAAAAAAAAATAGTTGGTAACAAATAAGACATTTCAACGATCTAATTTTCTTTTGCTTAGGACTAGGGATAAAGTGAGTTACTTTAGTATGCCCACCACATCATAATTTAGGAAGCTAGATTATTGTTTTCCCAAATTCAATGCAGACCAAGTCTTGTCCAATGCCCAGTGACCCTGGCAAGGAACTTCCTGCCTCAGGGGCTCTTGATTTTCATTTTTTTAAAACAGGAAATTGTGCCTGGGAATCTCTAGGAAAGCTCAGCTCATTAGCTTCTATATTTTCTTAGATATTTGTTTTCTTCTTTCAATGTTGTTTCTTTTCTTTTTATTTTACACATATAACTTACTTAGCTCACTGACTAAATTAAAAATTTCTCAAGGACAGTATTATGGGCTGAATTATGTGCCCTGAAGTTCACATGTTAAAGCCTTTGAAATGTGACTCTATTTGAAGAGAGGATCTTTAATGGGATAATAAAGTTAAAACCTAACTGTGTCTTTATACGAAGAGGAGGTGAACACTCCCAAAGAGAGGTAGGGGTGAACAGGCATAGAGAAAAGACAGCGTGAGGACCCAGCCAGAAGGTGGCTGTCTGCAAGCCAAGGAGAGAGGCCTCAGAAGCAACCAAACCTGCTGACCCTTTTGGTCTTCCAGGCTCCAGAGTTGTGAGGAAAAAAATTTCTGCTTAGGCCACTGTGTTGGTGGTGTTTTGTTACAGCAGCACTAGCAAACTAAAGGAGAATGATATGTAAACATCTCTGCCCCATTGTGCCTTGCTAAAGGCGCAGTACACAATTAAGGTGCAATTCTAACACCAGTAGAAATTTAATTTTTACGTATTAAAAAAAATCTAGGGCCTCCCCTGGTGGCGCAGCGGTTGAGCGCTGGGCTGCGAAACTGCCTGCAGCCTCTGCAGCGCCGGTTTGATCCCTGGCCGCCAGCGAGGGTCCCACAAGGCGCGCAGACCTCTCCTGCCATGCCCGCTGCTCCCCTCAGCAGTGTACTTCGGTCCTTCTGCCTGCTCTGCTCCCCGCTCTGGCTCTGGTGAATTCTCTCACCCTCCCGCGCTTCTGACTGTAACCCAGTTCTTGTATAAAATAAACTCTTTAGGAAAAAGAGACCTATCTAATGCAATTCATTTCATATGTGGTTATTTTGGCTTGTTGCTCTCCATGTTTATTAACAGAGACTACCATTAATTTGACTAGATAATAGAGACCCATGCTAAATATCTTAAACAACATCAGCAATTTTATGGTGAAAACTAAACCTCACACTTCAGTCCTTCAGTTCTCCGTTCTATTCGTATCTGTTCATATGTATATATACTTTAGTAGTTTTAATTACAATGATATATTCTGCTTTTGTCTCTTAAAGTAAATCATATACAGTTGCTACCTGTGTGATGTCTATCCTTTCAGATACAACTTTGCTTGAACATATGTGTGTATATATACGACACACACATACATGTTATAGATGTAGAATACATATTTATACAAATATGAACTTTATGTAAATCTCTGCATAGACAAAGTTTATATAAATATATATCTTCCTCTCTAATTTTCTTTTCTGTTTCATTTTACTTGTGACAAATGTGTGTAACACAATACACACATTTCCACTTTTTAGAAAGAATTACCGTGTCAATCAATACAAACTCATCTCACTCTTGGTAAATTATTTTGTTGCACTGATTTTAAATGCATTATCACCCTGCTTCCTCCCCCTTAACCCACAAACTTTTACAAAGATACTCATGTGGAGCACAAACAGAAAATATGACTTAAAGAGACTAAGCCTTAGAGCTGTTACCTAATAGGAATATCTGAATGAAGAATAGATCAGACACCAAATGCAGAGGCTTTAAATAGAGGGACACAACTTTTAGGCAATTCAAGTACGTTGGAATAGTAACCGTGAGACTTCCTCAGACTGAATGCTTCTAGTTACTACAGTAATGTCAGGTCTGTGTTAGCAATCATGTTTACAGCCATGTCCCCCACTGACGTTTTTGTGCAAATAATATTGTAGCAAAAAAATAACTTTTAAAAGAATCATGCATAAATCCACCACACTAGAAAACCTAGATTTTTTTTTTTCTGTTCCCTATCTGTATTTGTTCATTGTGTGTGTATATATATATATATATACACATACATATACACACACACACACTTTAGTCATTTTAATTACAATTATGTATTCTGCTTTTGTCTCTCAAAGTGAATCATAAACTGTGCTACTTGTTATGTTTGCATAATAATGATTTTTATGGTTGCATAATCCTCAATTCAGTTGATGTATTTTCCTTAATTTAAAAAAAGGGACAACTATATTATCTGAATTATAATTAAATCAAACACAAGAAAATCAGTTTGACACATTAATGATATACATAAATGTTCTTGAGCTACATGGTAACTGACTATAAAATGAAGAGCAGCTCACATAAATTATAATTAATATTCTCCATGTCCTCTGAAATCAAAACTTCCTGGAGTGGGGAGGAAGCTGTGGAAAAAGACACTGTCCAGATGCTTTTCTAGAAAAGAAATAGACCTTTTCAGTCCTTTAGGAGTTGTTTGCAGGAAAGGAGACTGCAATTTCTTTTTTCTCTTTCCTGCATTTGGACTTCTTGTACAGAGGTGGAGGGAGCAAAATTATATGCTTCAGTCAGTATGGTTAATCAGATTGATTTCCTAACAACTAGCCAGAACATATGAATAACCAATGGTCTTCTTTAACTTATTAAATAAATGAGCAAATATTTATTCAGCACCTATTAGTTGCTGGGTGTGAAGTGCTTAGGAAAATAGACAACCTCTGCTCAGAGTTTACAATCTAGTCAAGATATAGGATAATAATTAAGTAAACAAAACAATTATAAGTTTTAGTAAGTGCTAAGAAGAAATAAATGGCACAATCAGACAGAAAGGAAGGTGGGGCATTCCTACTCCAGATAGTAGAGGAAGCCTCTCTGAGTAAGTTGCTTTGACAATGAAACTTGAAGTCAGCCACACAGAATAGGGGAAGGGTCACAGCAAGGGCAGACCTTAGGCATGATCAAATTAAGCATGCTGCCTCCAGCCAGTGGGACTGGTGAGGTAGAGAGGAAGGCAGGAGCCCTATCAGAGCCCCAAAGAATTCCCCCCCCTTCTATTTTTATTTATTTTCTTACATCATTGTCAGCTTTTGGACAGTGTTTGATTTCTCCCCTCAGGTGTAGTTCCGGTAGTTCCCCCACTGAGTCTTAGCGCAAGTGGAGAGGCCTTAGGGTCAGAATAGATTAGAAAAGCCTTGGAGGAATAAGGAGGGCCCAGAGATAAAGGCAACAAATTCCAAAGGAAACTAACCTATACCTCAGGACTAGGGGCAGCTGGACATTCTGGAACAAGGATGGTAAAGAAAAGTATGCTAAAATAAGGGCAGGGGCACAGAGACATTTAGGCAGTGAGTGAGACCACGGAGAACTAACCAATCACAAAGAGATTGGTGGAACTTCAGAATCATTAGGGAAAGAAGGTCTATACTTCCTGAGGCATGGCTCCACTCTGGCTTCCTTGCCCCTCCCTGGCCTGCTTCCACAGGCTTGGGAGTTCCACTTTATTTCTGTTTCTTTTTTCCTCAATAAACTTTTTCTTTCTCTAAACAAACCTGCCTCTTCTCACTTGCTTGCCTGAGAGTCAGTGAAGTTCCTGCTGCGACTTCATGAAACACCAATCCATGGTGGTCCAGTAGCTGAGACTCAGCACTGCTACTGCAGCCTGGGATCCATTTCTGGCTGGGAGACTAGGCCTGAAAACTTGAAATGACAGTATCACCACCCCCTTAGCACGCGTGATCCATCTCCATAGTCCCCTGTGTTCTTCCCTCTCCTATGTTGACCCCCTTCCCTCCACTCCCCTGCTGTGTGTCAGAGCCTAAATGTCATTGTGTTAGGGGGAAAAGATGTCCTGAGCTAATTCCATACAGGCTTTGCGGACTCCACCCCCACTCCAGACCAAAGCCATGGGAAAGGTTGCTGGGACTTGAGGGTGGAGTTAAGCAGCCAGGTTTGGTATAAAAACCAGACACGTGGGCCTTGGGGGTCTGTCGCCTCTTGGCTTCAGGGCTCATGGCTCCCCACCAGCTCTCAGAGTGCCATTTGGGATTCCAGATTGGCGGAACTGGTAGGACCCATTTAAGACTTTATCTCCCACTTTTCTCCCTGAGTTGTGCATTTCCTAATTTCCCCTTCCCTTGTGAATAAACCTTTTATTAACCTTTTGTGTGTGCCTGTAGTGGAGTATTAAGTCCCTTTTAAGCTCGCGGGTGAAGACCCACAGTCAGTAACCCGTTTTATATAGGGGCTGCCCTGTAACAATTGCAAGCATGACAGGGAGCCAGGCAAAAGTGTTAGGAGGTAAATGGCATAATTCAAACCATGTCGTAAAAAGTACTTTTGGCTGCTGTGTGGAAAACAGATTTGGCGTGGTCTAAGTGGAAGTAGAGAGTAATCAGGAGGTTGTTGCTGTCACCCCCGTAAGATGTGAAGTGGTTGGAGCTCAGCGATGACAGTAGAGAGGAAGAGTAATGGCCAGGGTGGATCTCAGTCAGAGACAGAGCTGACAGCTGAGATGACTGAGAAGGAAAAGGGAAAAGGAAAACGTCAATAATTACTTCAGGATTTCTGAGTGTGTATCAAATTTAGAAATGGAAGGTGGGAAGGCAAGGGCTCACTTTGGAGATTTCAGTTGGTGATGCCTTATAGGGTGTCCAAACAGTCATCAGCTACACAGATACTTGAGTTTGAGAACAACTTGGGATTTGTCAGCAGCCTGATATTTATTTATTTATATTTATTATTTTATTTTATTTATTTTTTACACCATTTTTCATTTTTGTACAATGTATGCATTTTCGTCTTGAAATTCCCACCACCCATTTACCTGTGAACTATCACTGTGATCCCTTGTGCTCTTCCCGACCCTGGGTTTTTTTTTCCTTTTTTAAAATTTTATATATATATTTTATTTTTTACATCATTTTTCATTTTTGCACAATGTATGCATTTTCATCTTGGTTATAGTCCCGGTACAATTCCCACCACCCTTGTTTTGATCCTACTCCCTCTCCCTGCCTGCGGAATGTCTCTGGTGTATAGTTACCTGTTGATTTTGATTTTTACTTTATTATATTCCTTTTTTTTTTCCGTATCCCTTATTTGGATCCCCTACATTCCTCCTATAAGTGAAACCATGCAATATGTTTCATTTTCTTTCTGGCTTATTTCACCGAGCAGATCCCTTCCAGCTTCATCCATCTTGCTGCAAATGAGTGGCCTGATATTTAAAGCCTAAAGACTCAATGAGATTCTGAAGGAGAGTATGGAATTGGGGAAGGAAACGGAGCTCAGACTGGAGCTGTAAACTTCTCAGGGTGCCCAGCCATGCCCAGAAGTAAACCCCTACCTGGTAGGAGTTCAAGTGCACTAAGGATTTAGGCTATTATTATTCATAGAGTATCATTATTAACTGACCCTTTAATGGTTAGGGAAATTAGCCAGGGATTTTTTTTTTTAATTTGATATCATTTAGTTTCTTTCTTTCCTGAATCTCCTAATTCTGATATCCCCCAGAGATCCCTAGGGATTCTCTTACAGGAAAAAAGGCAAGTACATTGGCTTTCTCATGAGCTTTCACCATAAGCAGTGCTGCACCAGAAGCTCTGCACAGCTGCCAAAGCATTTTGCTACTTATTTCTCTGTTTTCATGGGTGTAGGTAACTCCAGTGGGTCTGCCCTGACCTCCACAAACTCTTAACTCTGTATCTTCCAGTAGCTTGTGGGTCAGTGCTTGGTGGTTGTGGATGCTCTAAAGCCAGACCATAAGGCCCGCCTCCTATTTTATAAATGAGGAAACTGACCCACCCACAGCCAGCATGAAATCGAAGATATCTCAGGTTTCATGTCAACAACCACTGATCAGCTTCCTTGACAAAAGGAATTCCATCAGATCCATTCAGTCCAAAGGCTCGCTTGTTTACTTGGGTCCCTAAGGAAATACTAATTCAGTGTTTAAAAACTCTCTAGTTGGGAAATATGGCCACCACATGCAAAAAAACAAAACTAAACTACCTCACACCATGCGCAAAATCCAACTCACAACTGGTAAAAGAATTGAACATAAGACCTGAAAACATAAAATATATAGAAGAAAATATAAGCAAAACACTCCATGACATACATCTCAGTAACATCTTTAAAGACTCACCCCCCAAAGCAAAGAAAGTGAAGGAAAAGATAAACAATTGGGAATACATCAAACCAAAAAGCTTCTGTACAGCAAACGAGACATTAACCAAAATGAAGAGACATCCTACTGATTAAGAGAAAATTTTTCACTCCATACAACTGATAAGGGACTGATCACAAAAATCTACAAAGAGCTCACAGGATTCAACAAAAACAAAGTAAACAACACAGTCCAAAAATGGGCAGAGGAGCTAAAAAGACACTTTTCCAAAGAGGAAATGCAAATGGCCAACAGGTATATGATAAAATGTTCAACATCCCTTATAGTCAGAGAAATGCAAATCAAAACCACAATTAGATACCACCCTACAACAGCTGGACTGGCACATATTAAAAAAAAACAGGAAACAATAAATGTTGCCGAGGATGTGGAGAAAAAGGAACTCTCCTATACTGCTGGTGGGAATGTAAACTTGTCCCACCACTATGGAAAGCTGTGTGGAGGTTCTCAGACTACTGAAAATAGAGCTACCATATGACCCAACAATTCTACTCCTAGAGATCTACCCAAAGGACACAAAACATTAATTCAAAAGGATACCTGCACCCCTATGTTTATTGCAGCACTATTTACAGTAGGAAAGATATGGAAACAATGCAAATGCCCCAAAATAGATGACTGGATCAAGAAGATGTGGTACATATACACAACGGCACACTATTCAGCATTCAAAAAAGATAAACTCATGACATTTGTAGCAACATGGATAGAGCTGGAAGGGATTATGCTCAATGAAAAAAGTCAGAGAGAAAAAGAAAAATATTGGAAAATATCACTTATAGGAAGAATATAGGAAAAGAAAATAATGGATCAGTAAAAAAATAATAAATAAAAACCCCAAAATAACAGGCAACTATAATTCAGAGGCACCCTGTAAGAGAGGGAGAGAGAGAGGGGTCAAAACAGGGGAGGGAGGGCCTCCCCCCGTGGTGCAGTGCTTGAGTGCTGGGCTGCGAGGCTGCCGGCAGCCTCTGCAGAGCAGGTTCATTCCCCTGCCACCAGCGAGGGTCCCACAAAAAACAAAAAAAACAAAAAAACAAACAAAACAAACAAACAGGGGAGGGAAGAGCACAAGGGGTAAGGTGATGGTGTACGGGTGAATTGGTGGTGGGAATTATATGGAGAATACACCTGAGTGTACAAAAATGAACAATGATGTAAAAAATATATTAATTAATTAATTAAAAAACTCTCTAGTTGGAAAGAGAAATAGTTTCCAGACCCTGAGTATGCATTTACTAAGAAATACCTATTAATGCTGTATTTTCCCCCAGCCTGAAGAAATTAGGTGGATTCTGTTAACCTGGCTCACCTTCAGTTTGAGACAGTTCTATATTGTGAATGACCATTATAAAGGCAGGCAGGACCTCGCTGGTGGCACAAGGGGTTAAGCACCCCACTGTGAAGCAGTCTGCAGCCTCTGCAGCACAAGTTAGATCTCCAGTCAGGCAGGGAGCAACCCACCTGGCACAGCAGACCTCTCCTGACTCACCCACTGCTCCCCTCAGCAGTGTATTTCTGTCAGTGTGCCTGTTCTGTTCCCCACTCTGTCTCTGGTGAATCCTCTCACCCCCAGCATCTCTAGCCTGTACCCCAGCTCTTGTATGCATAAATAAATCAATCTTAAAAAAAAAGGCAGGCAACCTATAAATTAGAGATGCATTTGTAATGGCATAAGGCAACTCAAATCCTATATAAAAGGCACCATCCCAATTGGCCAGATAACAATAGATTGACATGTGGTAAATAATTGATAATTCTTGTTCTTCCCTAAAGATTGGTTTCAAAAACAAGAAGCAGAGTTTATTAGGAATTCAGTGAGGAAGCCCTGTATAATCTTTTCTCAGAAATATCTGGTGAGAAAAATAAATGTTTTCTGATTCTGTTACTTGTCTACCTTATTTGCTTCTGATTTATGTGAAGAAGTGTCTCAATACCTGTCTATAATTTCAGTGAATTGAGGCACATACTCTTCCTTCTTGAATGTCAGATTCATAGATTTGGAGGCCACCAAGAGCTTTAGAGATAATTCAGTGGCTCGCTCTTACTTCCTGAAAACAAAAGCAGAGAGGAAAGAGGTTTGGCTAAAATTGTACAGTGACTGGAGACAGACCCACTATACAGGATTAGTGATGGATGACACTGTCTTCCTGCTGTTTGAATTCAAGCTAGTGGAGCACTGTTACATTATGGCAGGATTTTATTTTCTTTGTTAACTATAAATTTTATACAAGTTGACTTTTTATTTCTATTAAAATTTTTTGGAACATAGAAATAAAAATAACATGAATTTGATTACTGTTAGTATTTTAATATATTGAGTCCCAGGGTTTTTTGTTTTCTGTGCATACTTTAAATAATTGTTATTTAGTATATATGTAGTTTTCATTTTTCTTAATATGCAGTAAAAATTACAGATCATAAGCATTTATCATGGGTTCAGACTAGGCAAGCAAATGAATATATTATAATTCACTGAAAGTTTCTTTGGTTGTTGGACATTTAGGATTGTTTTTGGTTGCCAAATGAAACAATATTACATGATATATAAATATCTTATGGTTTATGGCTTTTCTGGTAGGTTATACTCTTAATATGGAACTCTAGAAATAGAATTAGAAAGCCAGGATTATTACTACTTAAATAATTCAGGGTTAGCCCCAATTTACTATTCTTTTACAGCATTAAGTACTGCCATTAAAAAAAATGCCAATTTCCTCACTGAAAATAGCACTTGTTTGAGTCCTCATCTCTCTTCTGGAAGCTGAGACCTTTTCTGGATATCTTCACCCTTCTGATCCTAAACATCTTAGCTTTCTTAATTGCTTATAGTTCTCCAAATATGTGCCTTGTGCCATGGATCCTGTTGGCAGATTTGGCATACAATGGGTTCTCAACAAATGTTCATTTAACAAGTGAATGAAGGAATGAATGAATACAAGAAATTGAATGTTCCCCCACATTTGTCCACTAAGTGCAGTTTTTGAATTGTCTGGTTATGTTCTTTGTCTATTTTCTTATTGATGCCAGATTTTTCACTAGCATTTGAATATGAAAAGCTGTAACTCTTGTTTGACATGTATGGAATAGCGATACCTTTCGGTTTATACTTTGCTTCATATTTTAAAATAGAGAGTAGAATTTGGGCTAATAAATGCACTATTTCCTGCTGCATCTATTTAAAAGGAGCTCAGAATGTGTATTCTGGGGGTGGGTGGGAAAGAAGAGAAAGAAAGAAAATTCTAAGGTAATGAGTTCTGATTTTTTTTAAAAAAGGTCAGGCAATTTTGGTTACTCTATTTAAAAAGATTGCAAGTGTTTTTCATGTGGAAAGAGGAAATGTGTCGACCACATTTCAGGTGCTTTGAAGCAGAAAAGGTCAACCAGCCCTGTACGCAGGGAAAAACAAGAGATGTTCATCTCTTCCAGGAGGGAGGTTTCAATTAAAAGCCGTGCAGAGTGACTGAGTAATTTCTTAATATACTCTATTTGTAAACGAGAAACATTCATTAGCAATCTTTAAGTCCTGGGTGAATCAGCTCTGTCCATAGAAAACAAAAACATACCACCCTGCTTACATCAAAAGAGGAGAAGAGACTCACTTTCTTCCCCTTAGTTTTCAGATATGCTTTTCATGTTTTAAAAAACATATCAAAAATTGTATCATCACATTATGCCTCTGGGTCTGTTGCTATATTTGCAAACTTTAATATATTTCTGGTTAATATTTTATAAAGCAGACGAACTCATAAAGTGCAATCTGTCAGAGTTTCAAGATAATATCAGCTCCCTCCCATCACCTAAAGTGGATGTTTAAGCCATGTGACTGGAAACAAAAAGATTCCAGTTTCCCAAGCTGGTTAGATCTATTCTTTGGAAGAGGAGACGTCTGATTCTCAGACAAAACCAAAACAAAACAAAACCAAAAAACAAAAAACCCAATCGTTGTGGCTGGAAAAATCTCCCTGAGGCAAGAGGTTTATAACATAGATATATCAACGTATGCCTACAGGTAGCTCCAAACACATGTTTGAAAGATGAGTAAATGCCTGGGGCAGCGCTACGTGGATGGCGACACCTCCTTTCCATGCTGCCCCTTCTAGCTGCTTCTCTGCCAGCAAGCTGACCCGCACGGCCCCGTCAATGGATGGGGCAGAGTGAGGTTGGCTATTTCCTTGACTTCCTCTCGGTGGGGTTGCCTCTAGCTGGCTGCATTTCAGATGTCACAGCACCTGCCAGGTGACCCTCTCCACCTGATCCTCTTCCCAGGTCTCAGTGACTCTCTGACCCACATCCCTCCAGGCTCAGAGTTCTGTACTATTGTAGTGGCTCCTTCCTACACCGGCCCCAAACCTTAGTAAATATCCTTTTGTTAAACTCTCCTGGAATTATCCTAACTTGAATGTGCCATCTCTTTCCTGTTATAGCACAACTGATCTAGGTGGTAGTAGAGGTGTGCATGTTGGTTTAATGGTTGCACCCCAAAATTCAGCTTGCAAACAGCTCACCAAGCTGTGTGCTCTGAGGAAAAGGAAGATTTTCCTACTGCCATATGGGACAGTGTGAACTTGGTGCCTCTTTCTGGTGAACATACTTGTGAGTCTCAACTTTGCTCAGTGAAATAAGTCAGGAAGAAAAAGAAAAACACTGGATGGTCTCACTCATAGCAGGACTTTAGAAAACTTAAACAAGAGACCAGGAAAAAGAGAAATCAATACAAAGTAAAAATCAAAATCAACAAGCAACTATAAACCAGAGACACACTACAGGGCGGGGGTGGGGGTGCAACAGGGTGGTCCCCAGGAAAGGGGGAGGTTCCCTGCCCCACCCAAGGGAGGGTGGAGCTGAGCAGGAAGAGGAGAAGCTGCAGAAGAGACTGAGGAAGGAAGCAGGATGGAGCCAGGAGACCTGGAGGAGGCGCATGGAGCCTAGAGACACGTGAAGAAACTGCGCTTGTCTTTTGGTCGTGGACTGGGTGACACAGATGTGGGTGAGACCTGTGGGGAGGTGACAATGGCAGCTTTTATCTTGATGTTGATTTTGCTCTTTTCCTTCCGGGCTTGTCCGGTTGTTTGTGACCCTTTTCTGTGGGTCCCCACTGGAAGATGCTTTAGACTTGTGGCAGGCTTTGGGGCCTTGTTCTGGGCCGATCCCATATGGATGGACTTTTACCCACGAGGGGACGGGTAACTTTGGGTGCTTCATTTAGAAACTAGACTCTTTGCCTTTCCTGTATTGTTTCCTAGTTTTATTAAAGATCCTTCCCATTAGTCTCATGTGTTTTGTGTTGATGCGGCGGATGGCCGAACCCATTTAGAATAGGCAGGTTTGCGGGGTTTGGGCTGCCCCTCTCCCTGTCCTATAACAGGGGGAGGGGGCGGGGAGAGGAAGGACTAGAGTCAAAATAAGGTGGGGTGCAATTGTATGGGGAATATAACCATAATGAAAATGCACACATTGTGCAAAGATGAAAAATGATGTAAGAATTATATAAAATAAAATATTAAAAGAAAGAGAATCTGCTGATAGATCCCTTTTCTCTGCCATCCACCCCACCCCACTTTCCCTGTGAGTGGCAGTTTTAACCTGCAGTCTGAATGAGTCATCTCTACCCACAGCTGCAGCCACAAAAGCAGTAACAAGGGGCCTCCTATTGCTCTCCAAGTGTCGATGCCTTTGGCACCTTCCTGTAGACAGAAGAGCCACGAACAAATGATGTTTCCCTGGCTGTTTGGTGTGTTGTGCGCAAATCAGCTCTGGGAGTTGTTTTACCTGCTTCTTCCACTACGCTTCTGGGCAGACGCCTCTCCCCCACCTGTTGATGCAGGGCCAGAGGCATAGTTGGCAGAACCTGTTCTTACTCCCATCTTTAGCTGGGACCATGATGCTCCACCTCAAGGACAAAGAATACCTCACATGAAAGGATCTGCCCTTTCTCCTCCTCCTCCCTAGTGGGATGGGAGGCCTGGCCCAAGGGGTGTGTTTAGACTCCCAGGCTCCTTTATTGTTCAAGCATCCTTGCCTATATCACCACTGATTTTAATTGTCTTTACATCTGCCCCCGAGGCTGGAACGCTCCCCAGTGAGGGTGCTGTGAATCACACGTTAGAGATGTGATGCGTCACTCCATTCGATTTTTCTGTCTTCAGTGACTGAGAGTGTGCTGGGTCTGGTGAGTGAAGGAGACATTTATCTATTCATCTACATGAAGGAATGGACAGTTGCCTGGGTTGCTTGACCAGGGCAAGGCCTTTCAATCCGACTTGGTTCAGCATTGCTTCCTCTTTTTCTCTCCCCTGTGCTTTTTTGCAGCTCCTCTTAACTATTCAGCTCCTCGTTGGGCATGAGTATCTCCCAATAATCTAGACGCAAGCTGATTTGAGATCAAAATCCCACAGATCCTTTCAGCAGCACTCAAGAAAACAGAAAATGAAATCTATCTGCAGATTGTGCTTGCTGCTGAAAGAGACCAGCTAGATTTGTGCAGCTATAATTAATTTCAAAGAATCTTCCATCTGCAGGGTTTTGTGTCTAATTATTTTCAAGGTAAATTGAATTTGCTTTGCAGCATCTTCCAGCTCCACCTTCCAATAAGAGATTTAACTTAATACTGCTAACATGTAATTGCTCAATCTAGCCATGGATTCCTAATCCTTCTGCAATTTAGGGATATAGCATTTTGGATCCGCCACTGAATTTTTGACCTGCATCACTGTCGCTTTCTTTATTTTCACCTGTAACCAGCGGCAGTGTTTAGTCTAAAGAGCACAGGAAAGCTTTAGCTAGTCACTGAAAATTATAGAATATCAATCACTGACATCCATGCTGTGGGTGGATGGCAGCATATTAGAAAATGGAACTGTAGGTCATTTGGAAGAAATATTCCGATGAAATCCACCAGCGTGGCCGATTTGCTGAATCGTAAACAAGAAAGAAGGCAAGCCAAGTCAAACAGAGAAAAGATTGTTTTTCCCTTTGAGTGAACAGATATCAACATCTTTAAATGCAAAATAATGTAGTCCTGAGCCCTCTTCAGTGCCCCCCGGGGACTATTGTCTGAACTGTCAATCAAGTCACTGGGTATTCTGCCCTCAGTGCTTCTTTCCTTTCCCAGCTTTCATTCAAACCTTCTGCGGGGATTAACAGAGAACTGTCTGCCTTTTGTTACAAAAATCTTCCCTATGCTATCAGCACTATATTGGAGTTATGAATAAACCCTGCTAGCATAATGGCTTATTATGGTAACACCTGTACTCAGCCAGAGACACCCGGACTCTCCAGACTTTTGACTTATTTCTGATGGTCTAAGTACCGTCATTTCTCCTTCAAAGGTTGCCAGGTGCTTTAAAGATAATTCTCCGCATGCCCTTTGCTCCTGTATGGGAAGACGCAGGCACAGAGTTGGGGAAAGTTCTCAGGGTGTCAGGAAGTCGTGAATGAAGCGCTCACACACAATCCAGCAGGAAGGGAGATGGGCAAGTGAAAGGAGGGCTCTTGTTCCAGTTGAATCCAGGGCCTTGAAGAGGGTTCCAGCAAAGTGAAGCTGAAGCTCTGTAGACAGAGAGGGTAGACTTGCAGTGTTGTGAACCAGGACAATTTTGTCCCTAAGGGAACACTTGTCAATGCTTGGAGACATTTTTGGTTGGCACAACTGGAGAGGTTGGTGCTAGGTCTTAATGGGGGTGTTGTTAGCAAGCCGAATAAGGAGAACCCCAGCACCCCTAAACCTGCCTGCTCTAAATGGGTTCTGGCATCCTCCATGTAAAGACAAAACACACTCTTAGTGTATACAATCTTTAATAGAAAAAGAACTTTAATAGAACTAGTGTACAATAGAAAGAAGAGAAGAAAAAGAATATATTTTAAATAGATTGCAATTTAACAACCAAAGTTACCATCTCCTTGGGGGTAAATGCCCAGACAAACAGGGTTGACTCAAAGCAGGGTCACTGAGGCCCAAAAGCTTGCCACAAGTCTAAGGCACTTTCTAGTGGGGACCTATAGGAATGGGGCAGAGGGGGAAAAGAGCAAAATAAAACACAAGTCAAGATAATGACTGCCATTATCAGCACCCCCCAAGGTTTCTCACGCACCTCTCTGTCTCTTTCAAGGGTCCCCTTCCATGTCCCCCAAGTCCCTGGTTCAAGCCCAAGGCTGAGAAGCAAGCGCAGCTTCTTCACATGTCTCTCTGCTCTGTGTGCCTCCTCCAGGTCTCCTCTTCAATCTTCTTGCTCACCAAAGCATCGTTTCCATGTCCTTTTAAGAGTCAGCTTGCTGCTCACCTCCACCCTTCCTCAGGTGGGGCAGGGACCTGGAAACTTCCCTTTCCCTGGGGACCGTCCTGTTGTGACATCACACAGGAGGCAGGCAAAGAAGCAGCTCCTGCCCATAGCCTGTGTCCCTCACCATGGGCACGTGGCCCCACCACCCAGCCCTCCTGGACCTGTCCCCACCTCCCCACCCAGCGCTAGCCCAGCACTTCTCACCCGACACCACAGTCACTATGGCTTCGTGCAGAGGGGCGACCTGTGTGTGGTGGGGTGTCTAGCAGCTCTCCCGATCTCTGAGATGCTCTCCTTTTGAGCCTCAGTTTCCCTATCTTTAAAATTAGTTCTTTATTCACAGCAAGTATCTATCAAACTCACCTGTGTTTCAGTCATGGGACCCAGGCACTGAGGATGCCACTGAAGGAGAAAATGTTCCTGCCCATAAATAGCTCACATTCTTCTGGGGGATAAAATAATAAAAACAATCAGATAAAAATGAATACATTATTGGGCTGAGAGATTTGCTAGGACAACAATAAGCATGGTAAGGGAGGGGGAGTCATAAGAGCTGTTCTTTTTAGACAGGAGCATCAGGGAGGCCACTCTGTGGAGGTGACTTTTCAGCTGTACTGAATGAAGTGAGGAACTATGGTGGAAGGACCTTCTAGGCAGAGGGAAGAGTAGGGTAAAGGCCCTGAGACAAGGGGTGCTTGGTGCCTTCAGAATATCTGGGGAGGAGCGGCAAGTTCTTCTAAATGCGAGGACTAGTCTTCAGGAGGTTTGCAGTAAAACACAAGGGTTGTGATAGATCTATTGTAAATATTACATATTGGGAATGGAAGTATTGTAAAATGTATGTATCATGTGAGATGTTTGATTTTTAATATCACTAGGAAAATTTGATTCAACCATTTTTACCTATCATTATAATTTAGGTATAAGTATTTGTTTGCATATATTAAAATAAATTTTTTTTAAAAAATAAAAAAATTGTGTTATAAGTAGGAAAAAGTTCATAATTATATAACTTGGGGCATAATGTTAATATATTTAGTGTTGAGTACATAGATATGTATATATAATTTTTATAAAATAATTTTAGTTATTTATTTTTTAAATTTAATTTAATTTAATTTTTTAAGATTTATTTATTTATTTATACAAGCACTGGGTACAGTCAGAAGCACAGGAGGGTGAGAGAATTCACCAGAGCCAGAGCGGGGACCAGAACAGGCAGAAGGACCGAAGTACACTGCTGAGGGGAGCAGTGAGTGGCAGGAGGGGTCTGTGTGCCATGTGGGACCCTCACCCTGTGGCCAGGGATCGAACCGGTACTGCAGAGACTGCGGGCAGCTTCGCAGCCCAGCACTCAACCGCTGCGCCACTAGGGAGATCCTATAAAATAATTTTTAAATTCAAAAACCCCACAAGTGTTGGAGAAGTAGCCTACATCATGGAGATGCTGCTGGCCAAAAATTGGCTGAAGTATAAACTGGAGTCCAGCAGCACAAGCTGGGGGCAAGACTGGCTCATTCCCATGGCCACCTAAGTGGTAGGCGCTGTTGGGAAAGCAATGGCAATTTCCTGACAGCTGGAGATGCTGCCAGAGGGCAGCCCCTCTTCTGGGGCCAGTCTGGGCTTGAGTTCTGGAGCCCCTGATGCTCTGGTGGTGGTGGTGGAGGTGGTGGTAGAGGTGATGGCAGTGGCCACCCAGAGATCTGCCCCTGGGCAGCACTGAGGTCGCCCCATAGCAGAAGGCTGCGAGACAGCTGCAGGAGGCCCATGCTAACCAGGTTTGAACACCAGAGCCTTTCCCCTCCACCAACCCCTCCAGGGTTCTGGCTCCTGTCCCTAGAAGCTGCTTGCTGGCATTTTATCACCTGGCACCAGTGGCCTACAGGGGCTCAGGCTGCAGGCAGAGGCCAGCAGTGGTGGCAGGTGGCAGTGGTTCCCCTGCCTTGCTGCTCCAGGGCATGCAGCCCCATTGTGGCTGCAGTGGCAAGTTTGCCCAGTGCCGAGGTGCCAAGCACGCTCCAGCGTAGGAGGCAACTGCTGAACCCACAGTACTTAGTTCAGGGTTGTAGGGAGGAACAGGGTTCCATGGGCTAGCTCCAGTGCTGTTGCTCCCTCCAGGCAGCAGAATGTTGCATGGAGTGCTGGTCCAGCATGGCAGGCTCCCAGAAGAGCACACCCCTGTACAAGGTCACACAGGGCCCCACTGAAGGGCTACCAGGTGCAGAGTGCCTCGGTTTCCAAGTCAGTTCTGGCCACACCTTGGAGTCACCAGGGCCACGACTGAAAAGTATCCAGGTACCAGTTCCAACCAAGACCAATTAAAGGCAGCGTCTTTGGGGATGAAGTCCAAGCACCAGCTGATGCTAATGTACTGGCTAAGGTGAAGTCAGTGGGACACTAAAATCTTTGTAGAAACGAGGTTAAGAGGAATATAATAGTTTCTTCTTGCAGGGAGAAAGTGGTTGCATTTGGGCAGTTGGGGAGGATTTGTACACAGGGAACTGGGGTGGTGGAGGGAAGCAGATCCTTGCTGATGAGGTGCTCTGTAAGGCCTGGTGTGGGGACCAGAGGACAGCAACCTTGCAGAAGCTGGGCTTGGGCAGGACTCACCCTGGCAGGCCGCGCCTTCACAGCAGCAGACTAGAAGTGGTTTATGTCTGGTGAGGGCTTTCTTCAGTTTCAAAGTTCCCTCTTGTCTGTCTGTGTTCCTTTAATTGCTCAGTTTGCACTTAACCTTGTCCCTTTTTTCTCCTGACGTCAGCCTGCATATAAGGGGCCAACTTTGATGCTTTGATTCTCTGCTCCTTATTGACCTCCAGTTCTTTGAACTCTGTAGCCTGGAGCGCCTCCCAGTAGCTGTTCTCAGCCTGTACTGAGAGCCTCTGGCTCCGACTTCTAGCCCTGAGTCCTCAGACCCTGTTTAAGTCTGAGTGCAGCTAATATCCTCTTTTTGACCTACTATTAATAGACAACGACAAATGAAGAAGACTGTGATTATGTGTACAGACTCACACACTCAAAGGTTTTTTTTTTTTTTTTCCATGACTTTATAACATGTGAATGACAAACTCCAGGAATAGGTGCCATCAACCACTTCGTTTTCTCACACGTCGGTTCGGATTTACACAATGGTGGATTATGATCTCATAGCCAATGGTAGTTGCCAGGCAAAACGAAACGCTGTCTTAAAGGTGCCATGCTTTGCCTTGAAGGGCAGCTTGAAGTGGACGCTTGCTGGAAGAGGCCACCAGGATGGAAAAACTGCTCAGGCACAGTACAAAGGACACTCCTCTGTTTCACAACCGTAAGAAAAAACCCAGACATTTCTTGAACCACATACAATTTCAAGTAAGTTTATTACAAAAGAGTTCAGACATCATTCTGTAGTTCAAACAAGAAGCCATCAAAGGTTTTTGACTGGTGAGTGACCTGATAGTGCTGTTCTTCTGGAAGATCATTCTTGCAAGTACAAGTGGAGTGAATGGGTGTGGAGCAGAGAATGCTCACTGGACAAGGTAGGAGGTGGACAGATGTAAAAGGGGCTTCAGGGCACGAGGTCCAACTGCCTCTCTCCCTTCTTGGGCAAGTTGTGGGACTGAATAAAGGAGTTGCTGTTCCCCTGGGCTTGGAACCCCATCTTCCTTTCACAAGTCTAACACCCACAAACATTGGGAGGAGCCAAAATTTTGCTGGAGAAAAAACTGGTCACCATGCAGAATATGAGGCCAGCACGGCAGGAATTTAAATGGAAATGTTCTTGCCCCTAAATTAATTACCATCTAATTTGCACGACCTTTTGGATCACTGCACACGTGGCCAAAAGCACAGGGTCAAGCTCTTAACTGAACCTGGCGACGCTTTCCCATGTGCTCTGGGGATCGTGAGTCCGAGGTCAGAGTGTTTTGCTAAAACCATCACCATCCAAGTCAACAGCAAGAAGGGAAGAGACTAGGGCATTTCCCGCCCTCTATCCTTCAGCTCCAGGCTCCCACTCTGTGAAGATGTCCAGACATCTTTGTACAAATGTTATTTATTTATGAGTCTGTAACATGCATGTTGACTAAATAACAATTTATCAAGTATCTTGGTATGAGAAGGAAATATTTTTGCTACAGACACATACAGATTCTGAAACCCAGTGGCACTCCATGAAGTATACTAATTATAACAAACCCATTCATAATGAAGGGAAACAGAATGAATAAACATAAGTCTGTCCAAGATGGAGCCTCAGGAATAACTTCATTTGCAATTACTGATGGACACCATTATGATGCTGAAGCCAAAAGTAGCAGATGTCTGCAGAAAGAAATAGGGACGTGGAGATGCAATGTTGACGAGCTGGCATCTCCTCTCGCTGCTAAATTAGCTCTGGCCCTTCTCTTCCTAAAGAGCTTAGGTCCTGGCATGGCTTCAAAAAAGACGACTATCAACAAGCCCTCCACTGGTAGAGAGAGGGGGCTGTCTGTTGCCTAATCTTAGCTTAGTGACCCAGTTTCTTCATGTTTTCACAAAAAAAACTTTTAAAATTAATCAGGTGGCAGGTGGCATGCCTGAACATGGAACCCTATGGAAAATGAATGCCTCTGGAGCTCCATGGCAGCTCAACCACTGTGGGTAGCACTGAGCTGTGGGTCTGAACTGAAGATTTTCCTGGAGGAAGGGGCTTAGCCTAAACCATATGGGTGGTTAATGGAGGCAGAGAAACCCAGCCTTCCAGAGTTTTCCTAGAATTAATGTGGTCTTCAGGGCAGAGTCATCGCACAGACAACCTCCCAGGACCAGAATGAGACCAGGTACTGACCACTTAGGGCTCAATTGTGGCCACAAAAATGATTCCATCCCCCCACAACATCCCCATCTTCTATCTTTCCCCCATCCTACAACATATCCCATTCTTACCCTTTTCCACATTTATTTACTAGTAAAATTTTCACCAAGGGAGATTCCAGTGACAGTCTCTATTAGAAGAAATATCATTATGAGGAGATATGCGAGTGACAGGGATGAGGACTGGATAAGCACTCCCCACCCACAGACCTGTGAC